ACTTTCCTGTCACCTTTATCAGGAAGCAGAGGTTGTGTAGGTGAGCACACCTGGAACTACAATGAGGAGCCAAGGACTGCACCCTGCAAAACTGTTTCATGTAGGGTACCCCAGCAGCAATCTTCTTGCTGGCAGTGTGACCCCTGCTTGACCATGGACCTTCAGGAATACCTTAGGGTCCTACAGAGCTCCCTCATGGAAGTGCCTTTGAGTGTTGCTGGAGTCTGCTGGGCTGGGAGGAGCAGATCAGCAGCAGCACCTCACTGGGAGGGCAGCAGTCTGCTGGGACCCTCTGCAGGGACAGGAGCTGCTGCTCTGCACAGAGGACAGCTGGAAGGTCACCCCACAGGACACAGCAGCTGCTGCTGGGCTCCTGCAGGCAGGGAAGTGGCTGAAGCCCAACACACCCCTGCAGGAGGTGGCACTTCCATACCTGCAATAGTTCATTCACATCCTCGTGCTATTTCACCCTTCATTTCAGGCAGTGAGAGGAAATACCAGGTTTTATGGCCAATAAAGAAACCATGAAGCTCTCATAGGAAAAAATTACTCTTACACATCCCATGCATTTGCAAGACTTTATTTTTGTGTGTGTGTATTTTTCTTTTGAACTTGTGATGATCTGAATAAAAGGTTCCAAACTGGCAGTGCTGAAGACCAAAACTTTCATATCCACAGACTAGCAGCTGCTCTGATTTCCAGAGCCCGTGGTGAGATTATTATGGAGTGTTTGTTGTCCCTGGATAACCCTTGGAGACAGTCCACTCAGAAACAGAGACAGCAGATGCTCAGAGAAAGGGGAAAGCAAGCCAGAAAACTGAGAGTCATGAGAGATGAAAAAGCACAGTAAGGAGCACTCAGAGGGCTGAGGAGGACAAGTATCTGGGAAGGAGGAGCTGCTGACAGAGGCAAGGCACTGAAAAAAGCAGAGTAGTTCAGGCTGTGGGCCCAAACTCATCACTATAAGATGATTAAGATGTCTATGACTATAAGATGTAAGGCCAGTACAGAGATTTATGATCATCAGCTCTTTGGGATCTTTGGCTTTCATCCCTGTTTTATAGGCCTGAAGATTTTATCAAGGGTTGAATCCTTCTTTTACAGGCTTCAGAGATGCTTATTTATGACACTTCTTTTTGACCTGAAAATCTTTCTCTCCCACATCCTTAAGCCAATAATATCAAGGCTGTAGAGTCATTTTTAGTCTTTCAAGAAGTCTTGAGTCCTGCTTTTATTAGCATACACAGCACTCTGTTCCAGTTTCATTCTGAAGGAACTAGGGGTGCCAGATGGGTATTTCATTAACAGCAGGGCAGTGATCTCATCTGAAACTTTGGTACTGAAGTAAACTTGTCTTAGAAGCATTCAGCTTTGCTGGATTCCAGGGTTTTTTTTTGGCAAAAGCTGTATGATCACAGACTGTGCATTGATTAGCAAGTATTTACAAATGAGTTATTTCCTCCTTTTATCTGGGGGTGTTATTCTCACTGTCATAACCATCCATTCCTGTGGCTGTTAGTGATAAATAAACATTTTGTATTAAATATTATAAACTCCACATCCTTGTTTCCTAATCTACCACTTCAGTTTTACCATTGAAGTAAATTTTCTCATCTTAAGTTTTAATCTTTGGGGTTGAACTTTCTTTTCTCCTATGGTTCTGTAGCAGAAAAGAATTCATTGCATTTGTGGCCTCATAACTTGTGACATTTCTGGGAAAAAAAAATAAATAATTTCTGGTTGACAGTCCTTTTTAACATCCCTGAGGGCTTGATAAACACAGGAAATTGCCAGGCATACTGCTGGGGAAGGAAAATGTGCAGGGAAGGGAAGCTGCCTGCTCAAGTGTCCCTCTCCAGGTTACATGGCCTAAGCCACTGGCTTTTTTTTAAAGGGAAAATGGGGAAAAAAGGGAAACTAATGTAGTTCTTCAAGAAGTGACAGAGAATCCATGTGAGTCACCAGGAGGCACAGCTGCTTTCTCCATATCACTTGCAAGTGTTGCCTGAGTCCCCACATGGGTGGCCTCAAGAGGTCAGGAATTAAACTGTATGAAACATTCCTCTCAAAAAAAATCAGATGATGTTTAAACCAATCCTGTAAGTCTGTTTCTTGCCTGCCTTCCCTGCTTCTGGTGGTGTGAGATAATTTTCAGACTAAAAATGCTGCTTTTAATACCCACAAAAATGCACACTCACTTGGAAACTGCTTTTACTCATCCCCTCTTTGGCCAGCACATCTCCATGTTCCCTTCTGACCCCAGGAGTGCATCCTGAATCAAGGGATGAACATCCCAGGAACACAAAGCATCACTGGGAATTTGTTGGAAACCATCAAGAACCTGAATTTGGTCAGCAAAGTCTGAGTGTAAAACACTTTTGCAATACTATGTAGCTTTCTACTTGCTGGAAAAGTCTGAATCACAAAGAGCTTTTTGTGATGATTGCAACAAAAAACACACTTGGAGTTCTCACACCTGAAAAAAACCCACCTCCCATTCAGAGGTAGCTGTAAATGATTCTCCTTCCTCACTCCATCAGCTCCAGAAACAGTGCCTGGTACTTGAAATTTCTGAACTACCCTGACAATTGAGTTTATTGCCATAATTACACCTAATTACCCTTTTCTCCAGTTCTCTGACCACAGGCCCCTGGACAGGGGTGCCTGGGTGTTGGTTCTGTGGGTGGTAGCAGTTGTCTTCTAGCCTCCCTCAGGCCTGATAAGAGAAAAATCATGAACTGGGGAGTTTAATCAGTTTAAAGTGAGCTCTGTTGTGATGTTTTCAAGTTTCCTAAGGATTTAAAGTATAATTCATTGGACTCCTTTCTGAAGCCAGCTGTGTTGAGATTCTGTGTTCCAAAGGTATCCCTTTCTAAAACAGAATATCTTGATGGGTAACTCAGATTTAGGGCAGAAAAGCCCTGCACTGATTAGAGCTCTAGATAACCCAAGTGTGATTTTACAGACTGAGAGTTGCTTTTGAAGTATTACAAATGACATCAACACCCTCTTCTTCATTCCACCCTTACTGCAGCTGTGCACTCCTAGAGGGAAGATTTCATAGGTTTCATTTACATTTTTAATCCAGTAACTCACTTTGATAAATCTTTTCATTTGGAGTGCTATGTACCTGTGGTGAATAACAAAAAATCTAATGAATAAAGTCTTTCTAATTAATACTGTTTAGTGGGATCAGACATATGTTGAGGAAAGGCTAATTCCCCCTTCCCCCTCCCCACTTTCATTCAATGAGGGAAAAAAAACCATGTCTGAAAGGAAAGCAAAGCATTTCAGGCCAGCAAGTTTCAGAAGAACCAGAAAATAAGGCTTTCAAAGCAAAAATATTTCAAAGTTTAAAGCAAAGTTCAGGCAACAGTCTAAAACTTCAGCTCCATTGAGTACTGCCCTATTTTTGAGGAAAAATAGGTGCTCAGCTCACAAGCAGGCTGATGTGGCACCACTAACACGTGCTCAGTCCCAGGAAGGTTTAGATCTTCATTCAGCATTTTGGCAGCAGAGATGGAGGTGGTCATCACCACCCTGGGCAACCAGTATTACATCTCCCTTTTCTTCAGGTATTTCCCTCAAAATTAGCAAAAGTTTTATCCTGGGAAAGGTTTTAAAGCTCTGCAGCCCTTACAGAGGGAGAGATCAGCTCTGGAAGAGGAGGGGACATGCAGTGGGGAGAGGATTCCTGCTTAAATCACAGCCTGCTCCTTCTGTGCAGGGACAGTCATGTTTTTTCTCCTCCTTTGTGGCTATACAGCTCATCTCTCCTCATGCAGTTGGGTAATAGTCTCATGGCAGCTTCAGGACCTGTGCATGTGGAAAAGTTTCTCTTCTCTAAAAAAAAAATAATTAAAAAAATAGTGCTTTCAGTGGAGTTTAGCCTCCAGAAACAGGAGAGGGCTCACGCTACGTGACTAGACAGCATCACATGAACCATCTGCAAGTACTCCCTGACCCACAAAGCCACAGCTGAAAACTTCTTATGCAGAGCTGACCATAGGAAATACTGACTGGAAAGAAAAATATACCAGAGCCTCCGTGCTGTTCAGGACCAGATGGCTCCAGTGTAGTGTGGCAGTTGGATTTTTAAGTCAGCAGCATTAATAACAGAAAATACAGATTGGCAACACTTCTAAAGTGAAATTCTTCTTGATTGTTGCCTGGGCAAAGATTTAGTTTGCCTTTGGGTCACAATGCACAACAGCTCAGCTCATAGTAACTGAAAGAAAAATGGCAATTTAATTTTAGAACTGTCATTTTAATGAAGCTTTAGGAGCTAAGTTAACTCTTCTAAAAGCTGGGATGACAACCAGAATTTCTAGGTTTTATTAATGGAACTGCTTTTAGATGACTGTGTAGCACTGATCCACTGATAACTTTGTGACTCAGTGTATTTGATGTATTTAATAATATGTATCTAGTCGTGGGTGCTTAATTCACCTATCAAATATGGAGAATGACTTGTTGATAAATCATAATGAGGCATCTGGATTGAAATACAATATACAATTTATTAGTGAATAATTAGTTACCCATGAGATCTGCATTCAGTTCATTTTTCCTTCAGTCACCTATTGTTTTGATTTCTGTTCATGGAGTAAAGAAACATAAAAACCTCTCTAAAGGTGAAAGGACCAAACTGTGATTATTCATGTTTTCTTTTGCTGACAGGACTTCAACAGCACGACACAGTGTACTATGACTTTTTTTTTCTCTTAACTTCCCAAATTCCAGTGGTGCATTTCAAGTCCTCTGCTTTGCAGTTGTGTCTCTTACTTTTGTTCTCCAAAGCTATGGAACTGGGGAGACCTGGGGAGTGTTTTGAACAGTCAGGGAAGAGAAGTACCCAAATGTGTTTTTAAATGAAGTGTGAGCAGTTAATTCAGTGGCACCCTTTGGATCTGTGCAAGGAGACACTTTAATATGACAGCCCACAGAATTCTCCTAGTGTTTCCATAACCAATCTGCATTTGTTTCACCTTCAGGTATTCCCTGGCAGAGCACCATGGGCAATTTCAAAGGGCATGCCCTCCCTGGAAGCTTTTTCCTTCTTTTTGGCTTGTGGTGGTCAGTGAAGTATCCACTGAAGTATGCCTGTAGGAAAAACAAGAACGTTTGCTACCTGGGTTCCAGGGCAGGATTTCAGCGCCTGGAGTTTGTGGAGGGGATCATCAAAGCTGTCTTTGCTCTGATTGGTAAGTGAGGTGGACTTGGGGCAAAGAAGAAAAAGGGCTGTGCCTTTTCACACTGTTTTTTTTTTTGTTTAAATTTCTTTCTCTGATAAAATAGACCTCTTTGTGTTTTGGTATTTCATCCTTTAAAAGCCATGAATCTAAGTATTTGGGCTACTGCTATTAATTATATAGTTATGAATGTAACATGGATTCCATCCACTTCTTGAGCTTCATTAAGGTCTCCTGACTACTCCACAGCTGTTCCACCTGAGTGTTCCTCTGCTGTTCACTACCTCAGGAAGGCAGATAAGTTATTTAGGGAAGGGGCTCTCACGTTGGAGCTGTGCAGCCAACTGGAAGTGCCCAGTTCTGGCATTCCAGGAGGCTGTGTTAGCAACCTACATTGACAGAGGAAGCAAGCTAGATGACAGGAGACCTGGGGAGCTCAGCACACATGATTCTCAAGTTGAAAAGGATCTTCATTTTTAGTAGTTTTGGATTTTTAGATTACTCTTCTTTAGATGCACAGAGTTGCCTGGTTTCTAATCAAGGTGCAGGCTGTATCCAAATCTTGTCCTTGCTTCAGGCTATGTCAAAATCTTGTTCTTGCTTTTCCTTCCCCTCTGGGAGCTGTATCAGTTAAGATGCATCAGGACTAAAATGATGTCATGTGTGCAGTATACACTTTGGCGTGCCTTAAAAAATTATAAAGACCTAAATAATAGCATTCATTTTGAGGTGTGAGTGGGGACATCTTTTGTACAGACCTCCCAGCCAGTGTCTAGAGGTAGCTGGGCAGTTAAACCACTCATCTAGGGGTTTTATTTTCACCCTGAAACAAAAAGCTGTTATGTTAACATATGGTAATTTCAATTCCAGTCAAAAATGTGGACAAAAAAGCCTGGCAAGAACAAACAGTAAAAGCAGTAGAAAGAGTAAAATCTACTGTTTCTATTAGGAAAACCTGAAATAAAAGTGGAAAACTACTGCATTTGCTCTGCAGCACATCTACTTACACAGCAGGATGTTGACCTACACTTGATAAACAATATAATTAACATTTTAAAAGCATAACATATTTCAAAGCCTTCCCAAACTTCATTGATCATATAAAGTATCTAAAAGCAACTTTCCCCTTGCTGGAGAACTGCAGCTAGTTAGCAAGATGCCAAGGGGCCAAGGTAAGGGAGGCAGTGGAGCAGCAGCTCAAATACTAATTTGATGTACACTCTCCTGGGACCTTTAATAACTGCACAGTGGAGGGATTTCCTTTTGTGGCTTTTATAGGAAAAATCTCTTTTCAATTAAGTCTGAACTCTGCCATCCTGTGTATTGCAGGGGACTGAAATGGGAAATCTTTCTTCTGTGGACCTTAGCATGTGTTGTACTCATGTTTGAAGCACTAGGCAAGGCAGCTGAAAAATTCAGTCAGAGGACTACTACAATAGGAATTGTTTAAAAAAAAAAATAGCTGTCTGCATTTTCACTGCTGGAAACTGCAAGATGCAAATAATCCCACCAGGAGTGGAGCTTGAGCCTGGTTTCCTTTGGCTTTCTCCTCTCTGGATTATATGCTGCTTAAGAGATGCTTGAGCTCTCTCCGTGGTCTTTCCCTCAGCAAAATAACATTTAATCTCTCCCCACCCACTGCCTATTTTCTTGAAAATTTATACAAAATGAATACCTCTGTGCATTTTCACTTGTATTTAGAGAACATGCTAAAAACTTTATTGAGACTGGCTGAACTGGGGCAGAAGGGAGCAGAACCTAGCAATGACCCAAAGCAATCCTCAGGCAGCCAGACTACACCCCAAGCTGACTGATGTTGCCTCTATTGTTTGATTCACCATCAGTCTATCCCTTGAGCACCACGACAAAGAGCTCTACTTCTTTTTTTTTTCATGTGCAGGAATGGTTGCTGAGCAGTTTGTTCCTGATGGACCTCACCTGAAGTTGTACAATTATGAGGAAAAGCACTGGGATCACTTGATGAACTGGCAACATGCCACCATGTACCTCTTCTATGGCATTTCAGGGCTGGTTGACATCGTGGCTCATGGCACCAACACGTTGCCAGTGGCCATGGACAGGATGATGCTTTCCTTGGCAGTGTTTATTGAAGGTCAGTTTACCTCTCCCTGCACCAGTGTGTGTGAAACTTGCAGAGGGGTATCAATCTTTGTTAAAAAACCCCAAAACTGTGCTTTCCTAACTGCTGCAGAGAGCAAAAGAATTATAAAGGAAATGGCAGCAGAAGCTTTTGGGTAAATTCTCAGTAGCTCCAGGATGTGCTTCAGTGTATGTACTGACACTGTGCAGAGTTTGTGGGCTAATCCCAGTGCTGGTGCATTGACCTGCACAGCAATTTCACTGCAACTGGAGACACCACTCAATGTATGTTTTCTGTATGCACAGTGTACCTCATAGCACCCCTCATGTTACACCAAAGGGGTGGATTAGTCTGTTGGTTAATGTGTTTTAAATGAAAGGTGACAGAGCTGCAGGTTCCCATGCAATTCCCTGGCCTGAAGCTCAAGGGTGGGAGTACACAGTATGTAGGCATCAGTTTTAAGAAGTTCCTCTCAGTTCAGCTGAGAAGGTGATATTGGCATAGAGATATGCTAAAGGTTTGCTCTTTCCTAAGAGCAGATTCAAGGAGATAACAAGGCAAGAAAATATCTTAAACTGACCCCTTAATTCATTCCAGGTTTTCTCTTTTGCTACCATCTTCATGGGAGAGCCATGCTGGATGTTCACGTTCACCAGTTATTGCTGTTTGCTGTCTTTGGAGCTGCTCTTTGCATTTTTCTGGAAGTTTTCTTCCGTGGCAGTATTGTGCTAGAGATGCTCAGGACAAGCCTCTGCATACTCCAAGGCAGCTGGTTCTGGCAGGTAGGTCACTTTTCTGCCATAGGAATTTCTTCTTTCACCAAAATTAGTCACTTATGTTTCATGTTGGCTGCTTCTTTCTGCTTTCTCAAAAGCATTGCAACAACAACAGCCTAGGTTTAAAGGTATTTTTGATCCCACATGAAGAGATTGAGTGAGGCAAAGCCTCCTGCTTTTCCAGTGTTTGGGAAATTGAGCAGGAGTGCCAGCCCAAACTTTTATATTTCAGAGATGTGGCTCCCCAAAGGATTCTTCAAAATGTAGCTTCCATGCCTTCACTTGTGATTCCATCCAATCAACAGATATTTGATAGCAACCCTTTCTCTGCTGTCAAACAAGAGAATTAGTGACTTGCTGCAATCTTGTAACAAAGAAACAGGAGCACGAGTGCAGATCTGTGTTTCATCTTACAGTCCAGACCTGAAGTCACTCCAGTGATTTTTATTTCCAGCATGTCTAGACAGGCTTCCCCTTTTTTTATATGCTGGCCAGACAGGATTAATAAAAAAGTTTGCTGTTCCTTAGCAGAACTGGACACTCAGCACCAAATCAAATATTTAAATACTTGCTCTGGCAAGAAGACAGACCTCCAAAACACTATTTTTCTATAAGTGAACTCAAGAGCCTCGTGCTGCAGCACTTGGTGTGGTACTTTCTGGTTTGTGAACTTTTCTTTGGTGATTTCAGAAGCTTCACAGAAGAGGAATTAGATGCAATCATTTATTCTTTGTTGTTTGCCTAGTCCAAGTTTAGAACAAATTATTTGTTTAGCTCTGGAGACAACGTAGGTTTTGTTTCAAAGTAAAAAACTGAAGAACTAAAAATACAAGATATTTAAGTGTGGCTTTTTTCACATCCACATCAGACTTCAACTTTTATATGTGACTGAAAACCACACAGTGGCTGCAGCATGACAACTTTGTGAAAGGTAAAAGGACTTTTTTTCTGCCTCATCAACACCCTCATTCACTGAATTCTCTGCATGGAAATACAAAGTGTACTCCTCCCCTCCACCTTCCCCTCCTCTTCCCAGCTCCTAAATTCTCAGCTAAACTGCTGGGCAGTGACCTTGAAGAGTTAGGCAGTATAAAGGACCAGTGCTTGTCAAGTGTAGCCACAGATTCATTAATTACCCAACTTATGCATTAATCTGAATTTCAGCTTTCCCAGCTCTGAATAAACAAATCAGCTATGTATTCCACATGAACTTACACATTTGGGTGAGAAAACTTGTTTTTTATGTAATTTTACACCCTGACTTTTGCCATGGATGACCCAGAAGAAACAGACTTATAGCTTGCCTTTATTTATTACTCATCTTTAATTTATTATTCATCTTCTGAAGCACGTAACACATTCCCAGATGCTGTTGGGAAGAAGTGAGTCAGTGCAAATGTCTGGGCAGTTTTGCTGATTGATGATGCACTTGCAGTTTAGACTATACATGGCTGCACACCAGCCCCTTCCCTCACAGTAGATAACTGTGAGTGCTACAGGACTTGTTGGGCTGGCTCCTGAATTCACTAGGCAAGAGCAGAGGGTCTCTGGGACTGGCTCTGCATCTTCAGAGGCATCTCTGCACAAGATTTGTGTAAAATGATCCATTGCATCTGAGTGTGGCTGACAATAATCACAGAAATAATCAGCCCCATAAGAAAATGAAATGTCTGCCTTGTGATGGGCAGCATAATACACCATGTGGCACAGGCTAGAAAGCAAATTCTGATTGCTAAACATCTTTTCTTTTATTACAGATTGGTTTTGTGCTTTATCCTCCAAATGGGAGCCCAGAGTGGAATCAGATGGATCACACCAATATGATGTTCCTGACCATGTGCTACTGCTGGCATTATGCCTTTGCTTTCCTTATACTTGCAGTGAATTACACCATTGTCAGCTGGTGAGTTACTTGAAACACTAAAATTTTGGAGACCTGTCTATTTAGTCTAGCAGGAGCTTTATTTCAGAAGAGTTCACTGACAAATCAAAAGGTTTCCACAACTTAATTAATTGCTTTTCAAGGTGAAATTAAAATAGATGTTGCTAATCAATGAAGGCAACGTGACTTATTGCTTCAGAAGAAAGGGGAAAAGCATTTGTGAAGTACAGCTCTGACAGCTTAATGCTTCTTACAGAAAATGGGCTCTTTTTGATAGTCTTCCACATTTATAAGTGCATAAAAATTTACAGAGAGGAGAGACCTTTTTCCCCCTACATTTTCTCTCCCACTGCTCATGTCTACTAATTCCAAATTACTTAGTTAGCAGGATTAATGACTGTGAAGATTATTGGACAGGTTTCATTACTAGCAATTTCCTGTGATTAGGCCTGATTTCTTTCTCACTAGTTAGTTTCACCCCCTAATTTCTAAAGTTAGCCCCTCACTTCACTGCTCAGTGCTAATTCTGACAAAATTCTCACTGCAGAGTTAACTTGATTGTAAAAATGAGCCTGATTCTGCCATGTGTGATCACCTTCTGCATGTTTAGGACCTCACCAAGCCTTTGCCTGCACTGCTTCCCACCTCTTGCTTTACCCTACCATCCTAGCAGCTCTCTTAAATCATGCTTGGGCCACATGTCAGGATGATGGAGCACTGGAACAGGCTGCCCAGAGATGTTGTGGGGTCTCCTTCTCTAGAGAAGTTTAAAACCCACCTGGGCGTGTTTCTGTGCAACCTGCCCTGGTTGAACCTGCTTTAGCAGTGGGTTTGGACTAGATGATCTGCAGAGGTCCCTTCCAACCCCTACTATTCTGTGATTTTGTGATAGGTAGTTCTTGCAGTCTTGCTTTGCAGCAAGGAGGTGTTATGTCTTTTTGGATCTCAGTCCAAAAGGCATGGCCACTCAAGGCTAACTGATGTGTTGGGTAAAGGATGGCCACCTTAGAAAAGGCACCAGCCATCATACATCCCTTCTGATGCTGGGGACTGATTTTACCATGTAAAGATGAGTTACTAGTGACAACTCTTTCTTGTTGTTGTTTCCAGGGCAGTTCGTTCAAAGGTTAAGCAGTCCCAGCCCATGGAAATGGGATTACTGAAAACATCTGAACGAGATCAGGAGTCAGAAGATGAAATTTAGTATGAACATGGCTTGACTAGTTTACCTGCTCTACCATTAGGCTTACTGATACCTCATTTCTAGATTTGTTTGCCATCTTATTCATTAACTACAACTTGCTATGCAAATATCATCCAACGAGTACTGTCTCCATCTACACAGCTCCATCTTTACTTGTGGGGACTAAACTTGGAATTAATTTGCAGTGGTACCTTGCTTATCACATGCTTCAAAGAAAATCAGGCTAACATTAGATGGACTGCATGAGGTGGCACGATGAAGTCTCTGTGTTTGCCACAAGAGCCACTGCAGTTATTCATTCTCAGATAGTCCCAGGTCTTTGCTATCATTTGGCTCTGGAAGGCTGTGAAGTGACTCTGCTTTCCCTCAGTGCCTGGAGCAACTTCTTCCCAGAAAGGCTGGGGCCCAGTGGGGCAGCACCTGGCCACAAAACCAGTGGCCTTACTTCCTTTCCTTTGGTGGAATTTGGTGGATTTCTACAGAATTCATAGCAGACCCATAACTGGACCCAGCACCTTTGTCAGGAGTGGGTAATGCTGGTCTGTGGGCAGGAGGAGATGGGTTTGCATCCTTTCCCCTGTCATCCCCACAAGTGGTGGGCAGTGGGAGGCCAGATGTTGCCTTCATAGTAGCTCCATGCAGTCAGCAAACTAAAAACTGAGATTGTTTTCAATAGATATTTATTTTCTCCACCAAAACTGAAGTCTTGATCTGGTGAAAAGCAAAGTACTCAGTGCCACGTGGGATGAGCTCCAACCTCAACAAAAGGGAAATAACTGACACATGGAAAAAAACCATCAGAAAGTGATGTTGTGTATAAGCACAATGTCTCTAAGGGACATTTTGAAGCATCACACTTTGGGAAAGACTCTAAAGAGGTCTTTCAAAAGACTGGCACAAGCAGCTTGTGGCACAGCAGCACCTACACTCTGTTTTCCAGAAAACTGAGCATGGGATGCATGCTGGTGGCCATGGGCCACTTCACATATCCATCAGTGGTAAGGTGGTCATAGCAGGGTGGTCATTCTAGAAAACAGACCCTTCCCTTTAATTCCTTCTAAAATATTACTTTCTAATTATTTTCAGAAACAGGCTAGTGCAGGACAACAAATTCCATTCAAATAGTGCCAGTGTGTCTGGGCTTGATGCTGCAGAAGTGATTTTTTTTCTATTATTTAGATACTTCCAGATGCTTCTAAGGGAATGCAGAGCTGGTCTCTGGTAGATACATGAGAGTGGTAGAAGCTGGTTCCTCCACTTCTGAGTTTCTCTTACATATTTTCAGTGTGAAGCAGAAAAAGGAGTAGCATAAAATTTGTAATTGCAGTAAGCTGACTGCTTAAAAAGATAGGTCATAAAATAGTTTGTCATTTAAAGGGATCCCAAGACTCAGAAAAAAAAAGGCTTTATCTAAAGCTCCTTTACCTTCAGTGCAACATAAACCTTCATTTTAAGATCTGCCTTTTATCTCCCCTTTTTCAAGGAGCATCTTCCTTAGATGCACCTGCTGTTAATGCTGTATCTTAGACTGCCAGGGTTATCAATGCCTTTCCCAAATCTGTGATGTCATTTATTCTGAAGGAAATCTTCAGAATGTACTTTGCTTCTCATAGGCAGGAACAATGCAGGTTTCTTCATTCATTTTCTTGATAAATATATTTAATACTGTACAAACATTAAGGTGCTGTATCTCTGAACTAAAGGGATAACCAAAGCAGGAGGGAAAGCATGATAAACTGGCTGAGCTTTCATATGTTTAATTAGAAGACTTCAGTTCATAATTTAAAAAAATATTTTGGATATTTACCATGTATTGTAAAGTGAAACTTGTAACCAGGTGTCAGATTATCCAGATAAATCTACTCTGGGAAGCAAGAATAGTTGGCTCACAGACATTTCTCCATTTACAAATTTTAATGGGAAACTGCAGGTTGCTAGCCAAAGATCACCACTTCTCTTAATAATTGTTTGCCCATCTTCAATGCCTTTCTCTGAAGGGCCTTGGGGATTTTGGCAAACTTTAATGAAGTCTGTCTCAGGACATTCTGGTAAGCTAGGTATTGGTTTGACCTTTTTGTAGCTTCATGTCTCAGCTGTAGTGGTTTTACTGTAAACTCTGAATTGATGTTTACTCCACTCAGCAAATCTAAGACTTGAGTTTCATTAATGTGGTTCCATTAAAATCAGATTTTCTGTTGCCAGAAGGAAGATCCACAGCTCTGCTGAGGAGCTTGCCTGTTCATTGCAGCAGGGGTAGACTGGCCAAATGCAGCACTATAATCTACACCTTCACTGTGCCACATCACTTATCTCTAAATTGGAGGGATTTTTTTTTTAAAAGGCAGATTTTTTTTTCCTGTTAGCACAGTTGTTGTATAAACCTGCAGTGCTGGACAGCAAGAACAGAGGTAATGTATCAAAGAGAACTTGGGGATTATTGCAAAAGTCTAGCACACCTGACTTGCTCTTCTCAAGCATTGTGCACAAGAACTTCCCAGGAACAGCAAGGTACCTGTTATGATGGAAAAGGTACAACCAGTATTCCAGTAGCAACAGATTTTGCTTGAGTTGAGTGAGAGAAAGTCTGACAAGTTTACAAACACCACTCAGAAAAAGGTGGCTGCTTAATCAAGAAAATTTAAATTATTCTTAAATATTGGTGCCTTTAAAAAAAAAACTATATGGTAGTTTATAATAGATATGTCTGTAATTTTATTTAAATAAAATTGATTTATTCTTATAAGATGTCTGTCATGTTTTCACAGGAAAAAATAAAACTCTTTATGGGGCAGGTTGGGCTGGGATAGACACATCACTCTCATAGTCCACCCAGATATTTGACTAAGTGGCATTTGAATTCAGGAAAGGTCAGTGCTGCCTTGTCAAATTCCCTTGATTCTACAACATAGGTGAAAAATAACCCCTCCTTTTGAGGTCTGGGCAGTAAAACTTCCCAGATCCACAGAATTAAAATTCTGTATAAAAAGGAGGTCCCAGATTTGGGTCGGGTCTCCTGTGTCACACATGGAGCAGCCAGCAAGCCAGATGAAAAGAACTGCAGGAATGGGATCCTCCTGTTTTCACAAGCTTAATAATAAAAGTATTTAGGAATTTATTTGACTTTGGTCCCTTTTTCCTTTAAAGACAAAACAAAAACCTTTTTCCACTGCACGATAAAAACGCATTCTGAAAGAAAAACCTGAGATACTTGAAGAAATGTTGGCAACTACAGATTTTATACTCTTGATTTTCTTCACCAGTCTCTAAAATTAAAACTAGGGACCATACCTGACAAAAACTGGCACATAATCCTGGCCACTCTCAGACTGTGTTTTAGGGATAAATTGATTATCCATTGAGGATTACAGTCCCATGGCTGGCTTTCAGCATTCCATGGATTTGATGACACTTTGCTACATATTTGACAGGGTGGTTTTTTGTCAACTATGGACAACTTCGGGTGGGATCCACTTACCTCTATGTAAGAAAACTTCTAAGTCTCTCCAGGACCAAGCAAGGGACAGACAATCAGCACTTCCTAATTTCCCATTTTAGCTGCTTGCTCACAAATCTGAAAGATTTGCCTAAGATTTATGAAAAGTACCAGTCAGAAACTTTAAAAGTCTAGAAATAGCTTTAAATAAACCAATTAGGGAATCAGCCTGTTTGCACTAGAAAATCTTGTCTTGGGATGGCATTGCCTGAGACCAAAAGAGCTCAGTGTTGTCAGTAAGCTGCAAAGTAAACAGCCCAAAGTAAAGGAGGTTGAAACTACCCCTTGGACAACCAGGGAACAAGATGTTCTGGGAGAAAAAGAGCATCTCTGAGCTGGCAGCTTAATGAGAAGGTTGCTCCTGCAGTTCCTAGGTCCCTGAGCACACTGCTGGGTGCTACACTGGCATTTTAGTCTGGATCAAGAGAGTGCTTTGGAGCCCACCTGCTAAATTAAGTGTACTATACATTATCTGAGACTCTGTAAAACTTAGTAAATGTGATATTTGTGCTATATTATGTAAATAAATACTTTTATCCCCCTTACATCTAAACCTAGCTTGAATTAAGAGTAAATCTGGCAGCAAGGAATTTCAATCCTACAGGTTCATTCATCCTTAAAACTAAAGCACTGGAAAACTTTGGTGTATCTGGTACCTTAATGCCCACATGGTTCAGTTCCTCTGAACTGCAGTAGCTGGGGTAGGAGTTATGGATACAGAGGTCAGTGGAAGAAAACAGAGTATTTTTGTATCCCAAAAGCCCTTTAGCATGTGCAGTAGTGGAAGCAAGCCTCACTCCCAAGGACTGCTCAACAACAGCACAGCTGTTGAAAGGGAGAAAGACAAGTGGAAAATTGCTGGGCACTTGCCTTTAAAAATCTATTCTAGGTAAAATATGTACTAGCTCAAAATATGTGGGAATGAAAAGCTTAATATTTGTCAAAGAAGGCATAACTTGTCCTCAGATGACTCTTTTAAAACAGTAATTTCTAACACCTTGCTATGCAATTGTTGCAGCTCATGGATTTCCACATTCAATACACTTCCTAGTAAGACAAGGAGTTGAAAAACATGAATACTAGAGCATACTTCACAATCTGACTCAGAAAGAAAGCTCTCCCATATAGACCACTGCAGTTTAGTGACAAAATATTCTGCAGGGGATGGTACCCACGAGGCCAATGTCACAGCAAGGGCATGAAACTGGAGCAGGAACCATCCTGTGCCTCCCAGCCACTGCCTCCCTGGGCAGAAGAAAGAAGACATGGAAAACAGACTGCAGAGCTCTACAACTGTATAACAAGCAACTAGAAATCACTCCCAGCACTCTAAGATAACGTGAGGGGAAGCTGAGTTCATGGTACATGGCATTTCAGCCTGCCTCTAGAGTTATTTACCAGGGGCAAGGTTCTCAGACACACTCCAGGATTTTATGGCTCCTCTGCAGCAAACCCAGAAGCACTAAGGCTGATTCCCTGCTCCCAAAGGGAATGACAGCAGGGGTGAAAGCTGGCACCACTTTGCTGGAATTTTACTGGTTTGAGACTTCAGCTCGGCCAGATGCAGTTGACACATAAAAAACAATGTCAAAGATGGTGTTTACTTCTGGCACTGCACTTTATTCAGGCCTGAAAACAAAAAAGAAAGGAAATAAGAAACATCTGGCTCTAATTACAGCTTAAAAGAAATGGAGGAAAGGAGAAGAAACATATCTAGTCACTCAGGAATGGTTCTGTCTCCCCACAGCTGCATCACATACACAAATTCACAAGCCATAAGGCTTT